GAAAGGTGAAGTGACTCACCCAGTCAAGCCTTGGTCTCCTGAATCACAATTCTCTTCCCACAAAATTACAGTGCCTAGGCCGGGCGCAGCGGCTCACACCTGTAATCCCAGCACTTTGGGAGGCCAAGGTGGGTGGATCATAAGGTCAGGAGATCGAGACCACCCTGGCTAACACGGTGAAATTCCGTCTCTCTTAAAAATCAAAAAATTAGCCGGGCATGGTGGCACGTGCCTGTAGTCCCAGCTGCTTGGGAAGGCTAAGGCAGGAGAATTGCTTAAACCCGGGAAGCGGAGGTCGCAGTGAGCCGAGATCACACCACTGCACTCCAGCCTGCAGACAGAGTGAGACTACGTCTCCAAAAAAAAAAAAATTACAGTGCCTATTAAATTGTGCTTATTGATCTAAGCTTTCTATGAAGTTCTAGAAGTCATACAAAAATGTTACAAAGAACCATTTCAACTTCATCCACCCCAGCTCTGGCTGGCTATATCAGTTGTAGAGACGTCTGTTATTACGTAATAGTTTTTCTGCCCAGAATAATCTTTAATTAAATCAGTATTTTCACGTGTCCTTCACCCACAAAATAATTCAATACATACTTATCATGCATCTCTATGTAAAACAATGTGCAAGAAGTTATAATTCGTCAGTACTCTAAAAAATATCCTTAAGACCATATATTGTATGCCCCTTAAGTTTAACAATATCTGAAATAGCTGCCTTAAAACAAAATGCAATCACACTTGAGAGAGGCTGATTATGAACATCAGAGATAGGCAATGCAACTTCATCGGGAAAATCCCTATAGTTTAATGCTACTGTTTTCAAGGGTTGCTACATTATACTGCAATTGTGTTACTGGGCAACAACTCAGAAGCCAGAATGGCAAATTCACTCAAGAAATAACCGAATCAAACGAATATTTATGAAAGCATTCTGAGACTCAACTTCACTTTTTATACCTTCAACTGAAGTAACTCTTTGTTATAAGCATCAGATACAGGATTTTTGTTGAGACTGTAAAAACTACATGGATATTTTATAGACATATTTTGAGACAGATACGTGCTTTCCAAAAGGGAATGGCCAGGTTTAGGCTCCTACTAACTCTGAATTTTAGTCCAAAAGCAATCTGAAGTCACAATATACAGAAGGCAAATAACTGGGCATTTCCTTTCTTAATTTCTTCCATCCTGGATTATAGCTCAGTTAAAAGAAATAGTAGGCCAGGCATAGTGGCTTACACCTACGATTCCAGCACTTTGGGAGTTCAAGGTGAGTGGATCACTTGAGGCCAGGAGTTCTGAGACCAGCCTGGTAAATGTGGTGAAACACTGTCTCTACTCAAAATACAAAAAAAAAGCCAGGTGTGGTGGCATGCACCTGTAGCCCCAGCCACTTGGGAGGCTGAGGCAGGAGAACGGCATGAGCCCACAAGTTTGAGGTTGCAGTGAGCCAAGATTGCACCACTGCACTCCAGCCTGGGAGACAGAGCAAGACTCGATCTCAAAAAAAAAAGAAAGAAAGAAACAGTACTAGACTTGACAGTCAGTGACCTCTCCATGACCTAGAGAGGGGAGTCCTGATGAAAAAAATATATAATAAATAAACTAATATTCTACTAGGAACCAGGAAATTGACCAAACTCCCCAAGCCCACTGAAGAATAGTACCAGCATTCCTGAGAGTCCTTACTGCTGGTATTGCCATGGGAAATTCTCAAATACTCACTTTCTAGGAACAGAATCTTTATTTCTGATTTCCTACTCTTTAATCTTTTTTATAGTTCACTGTTGCCATTTCTCCTTCAGTTACTCTCTTCTCTCAACAACCTTACTTTCACAATACTTACAAAAGGGGGGAGAGTAGAAATGCATATTTGTCATTGTATTAGTCCATTTCATATTGCTATAAAGAACTGCCTGAGATTGGGTAATTTGTAAAGGAAAGAGGTTTAATTGATTCACAGTTCCACATGGGTGGAGAGGTCTCAGAAAACTTAAAATCATGGCAGAAGGTGAAGGGAAAGCAAGGCACCTTCTTCGCAACGTAGCAGGAAGGAGAATGGACATAGGAGGAACTACCAAACACTTCACTTATAAAACCATCACATCTCATGAGAACTCACTGTCGCGAGAACAGCATGGGGGAAATTGCTGCCATGATCCAATTCCCTCCACCTGGTCTCTCCCCTGACACATGGGGATTATGGAGATTATAATTCAAGGTGAGACTTGGGTGGGGACACAAAGCCTAATCAGTCATCCTTAAGAAATATTTATCCAGCAATTTCTATTTGGAAAAGACTAAGGATACAGCTCATTGAGATCTGAAAGTCCTGCCCTTAATAAGCTTATAATCTAGTTAGGAAGTCAAAAAAGTCAAAATAATACAACAAGAAGTGTAAGTATCAAATAAATATAACTCACAAATACATACTATTCCTATGTATGTATGAGGTCATGGTGGAGTTGAACCTTATAGAAAAGGTACAATTTAGATTTTAAGAAAGAAGGGAACAAGATCAGGACATGCAGACTAATATGGAAAGGATAAAGTACGGAGCAGGTTTAAGGGGATAGTGAAGAAACCAATCTGGGCAGAGACACCTTTTCCATGAAGAACATACGCTTGAAAAGGCAAGGTGAGAGGATTTCGAGCGTTCAGCTTAAGTCAAGAAATGTGAACTTGGATTAATAGGAAGTTTTTTACACAGATTTACACACATTCCCTAAAAGTACATACAGGTTAAACAATGTGGGCAATTTACTTACTGAACCTAATACATTATGTATGACAAAATTAAAAGCAAGCTCATTTACTTTAGGCAAAGAGACAGTACCTGGGGGTGGGGAAATTCTGACAAGCCACTAAAATTCACTAATCTTTCTGTTAAGATTTCATTCTAAGCTTCTTGAATTAGAACATCCCATGACATAATGCTGATTTCTGATTACTAAGGATTATATGAGTCATTCTTGATTTTTCTTCTTCTCCGTCTTGCCCAACTTTTGAATATTTCATTACTTCAACATCAGCATATAGAAAAGAAAAAAGGAGAGAACTAAAATGAAGTCCATGGATTTTAGCAATACATAAGAGCATCTGACATAAAGAACATTAAACTTCAAGTTCCAATTCCCATTATTAATAGATTTCAAAGAAGTCATTTAGTCTCATCCTGTCTCAGATTTTCTCACATACTTGCTTACTTGAAAGGTTACTGATTCAAAAGATCATTCAAAAAGTGTTCTGAAAACAACTTGCCACAAAAATTATATCATTAAGGGTTCAATAAGAGGAGACAGTGAGGTGACTGGTAAACCAAGGATTAAAAACTACCTGTGAATAGGCCAGGCACACTGGCTCATGCCTGTAATCCCAGCATTTTGGGAGGCCAAGGGGGGCAGATCGCCTGAGGTCAGGAGTTCGTGACCAGCCTGGACAATATGGTGAAATCCCATCTCTACCAAAAACACAAAAATTAGCAGGGCATGGTGGCATGCGCCTGTAACCCCAGCTACTCAGGAGGCTGAGATGTGAGAATCGCTTGAAACCGGGAGGCAGAAGTTGCAGTGAGCGGAGATCACACCATTGCATTACAACCTGGGCGACAAGAATGAAACTCTGTCTCAAAAAAAAAAAAAAACTACCTGTGAATAATCAGTGTTTCATTCTCCCAGTGCTGCATGGAATTCTAAATTGTATTTCACTATTATCTGAGAATGTTCTAAATACAGTCTGCACACTTCATCTGATCTGGAAAGAAAACACTCAAAGTAAGGGGAATACCCAGCACACTCTGTCCTAAATAACCAAAGGACAACTCAAAACCATTTGCAACTCTCAGGAGAGTTCTGTGTGACACCTGTAATATAAAGCATTCTGGCCTGGTGCAGTGGCTCACACCTGTAATCCCAGTAATTTGGGAGGCCCAGGTGGGTGGATCACCTGAGGTCGGGAGTTTGAGACCAGCCTGGCCAACATGGTGAAACCCCATCTCTACTAAAAATACACAAATTAGCCAGGCGTGGTGGCGCGCGCCTGTAATCCCAGCTACTCAGGAGGCTGAGGCAGGAGAATCGCTTGAACGCAGGAGGCGGAGGTTGCAGTGAGCCAAGATGGCGCTACTGCACTCCAGCCTGGGCGACAGAGCGAGACTCGGTCTTAAATAAATAAATAAAGCATTCTAACAATTCTGAACAAACTGAGTTTGAAATCAAACCTCAATACAAAAGGTGAGTATTAATTCTAACCACTTACAAGCTAAACTCATAAATATGGAGAATTCTGAATCCAGGTAACTGTAGGGTAGATACATTTACTGTGTTTTAAATATCAGACTTGTTTACAGAGATGTTGCTTGGTAACAGAAGCACTGCTTTAACAACCTACTCTGTTTTAGAGCTGCTCAAAGTCTGAATAGATTTTAAGTATCATATAGACGAAATTCGGACAAGTCTCTCCTCATCCTAGACATCTGTAAGATTTGAAAGAGCTTCCTCATTTCAACTAACTAAAGGCTTTAAAAATACTTAGCAGTGGATATTTTTAAGAGCAAAATGGCCATTGATTATGGTCAAAATAGTTGGACACTGAGGATTCACCAAAGTATTTAAACCCGGCATACGCTAACATATTTTAGGTATTATCTCAGTAATGACAGTCGACATCACGGTTCATTCAAATTGTCTTCAAAGCCAAGGAAAATGGTAGCACAGCTTTTTCATCGTAAATTAAGCTGGAGGTACTTAAACGTTTGGCCAATTACCAAACTGGCTACACAACCACCAAGCCAGAGTGCACCCAAAAGCTCCATAAAGAGTTTCACGTGCGTCCAACTGGCTTCAGAACAAATCTCTCTGCCTACTTTTCTAGCACGAGCTCCCACTACTTTACGAAGAAAATAAAAAAAGGATTCAAGGGCAGTTTGTGGAGGGACAAAATGAGTATTCCAAAATACAAACAAGACGCCGTGCCCAGAAAGAGAGGTTACATACCAGACGCACGCATGCTCCTTGAAACGCGCACACAGAAAACTTAAGTGACCGCAGTTCTGGCCGCGCTCGCCACCGGGGACACCTCCACAGCTCCAACCACCTGCACCCACTCAACTCCGCTTACGGAGGCATTGGGACTAAGGGTTACAGTTCTACAGCGGGGTGTCGGCCCAGCCCGCCACGCCTAGCTCTTTAGCTCGCGGCGCAAGCTGAAGAGGAGGAGGGCCGAGCGGACCCCTCGGGCTCCTGTCCCTAGGGAAATGTGAAGTATCCCGGGAGAGGTCCGAGGGCGGCAGCGGCGGCGGTGAAAAGCCCCGCTCTTCCGCGTGGACCACGCTCCTCAGGGGTGCGGCGCCACCCCCCGTGCTGACGTCCGGACCCGAAGCCGCCTCATCGCACCGCCCCTCCACCTTGGAGGAGCGGGCTCTGTCCAGCGGCCCAGCGGCGCGCGAAGCAGGAAGTCCCACCCCCACGCCGACGTCACCGACGCCACGGACGCCAGATGCTGCCGGAGCCGTTAGAGGGAGGAGACAAACAAACCGAGGCGGGAGCGGTCACCGGTGACTGCGGTAGCGGCGGGGCTGGGATGCGTTCCCCAAGGCGTTCCTGGAGGGCCCTGGGTGGACTCAGAGATCCCCAGAGCTTCTGGGGACGGAAAATCGAGCCCCAGGCACTTGCCTCTGGGAGGCAGAGTGACGCGCGTCGTTGGAGCGCGAAGCCAGTCTCCCTAGCCTCCGGCCGACACAGCGTCTCCAGGGGTTTTCCTTCTTTTCGCGCCTGTCCTTCCCTCTTCCCCACACTCTTTGAGAGCCTCAAATGGTAGTCCTGCCGCCACCCTCTCTCCCTTCGCCCGCCTGCCATCGTCCCCGTGTGTGCAGATATGCGCTCCCGAAGCCGCCTGCCTGCCGCGGCTGGGCGTCAGCCCACGAATGGGGAGTTGGCTCAGCTTGCCGCGAGGTAACCTCAGGTCAGGACCAACTACCCAGAAGAGAGCCCTCCTCGCCCCCGCACCTCTTGCTCCAAGTCTCCTGTCCTGGTTATCCCAACTTCAGGGCCCACCTGGGGTCACATGGGGAACTACTTGTCTTAAGGCTGTAAACAGGAGTTGGAAGAGGAGATGCTAGCTTTTGAGAACTTCCATGATCATCCAAAGGCGGAAACAAAGTAGGCGGTCAGCCTTTCAAAATACGTGTTGGAAGAAACAGACACCTTCCCATCCCCAGCGTTTGTTCAGTGCCTTGGTTGGGCTTTGATTCTCACTACTTTGTGAAGCAAAGCTTATTTTTACCCCCAAGGTTATGATTTTCAGGCTCTAGTTATTAGGCAACTGTGAGGTGATTTTTTTGTTGAAATGAGGGGAAATGGGCCCTTAGAAAGGACCGTGTCTCTTTAGAGAAGAGGGAAAAAAGGGCAGTGGGGTAGTAATGGAATGTTGCTAGATGGATTACATAGATGAGACATGGGAGATAGAATAGAGAATCCAGAAATTCCCGTGTATGTGTGAGTGTTTAGTATGGTAACAGTAGCTCACATTTGCTGAGAATTTGTGTGTCAAGTACTGGCGTACTTTTTCAGATTATCTTATTTAACTCTCCCATCTCTGTAAGGTAGGTGCAATTGTTATCTCCATTTTACAGAGTTGCCCAAGACCATTACTTTTAAGCGTTGGAGCCAGACAACTCCAGAAATCTCAGTGGTAACCAGTAAACTATACATTACAAATTACTGGTCAGTAGGAAAAAGATTATTCGGGAAATGGCGGTGGCTCACGCCTGTAATCCCAGCACTCTGGGAGGCCTAGGCAGATAGATCACCTGAGGTCAGGAGTTTGAGACCACCGTGGCCAATATGGTGAAACCTCATCTACTAAAAATACAAAAAATTAGCCGGGCGTGGTGGCGGGCGCCCTGAAATCCCAGCTACTCGGGAGGAGGAGGCAGGAGAATCACTTGAACCCGGGAGGCGGAGGTTGCAGTGAGCCGAGATCGCGCCATTGCACTCCAGCCTGGGCAACAAGAGCGAAACTGTCTCAAAAAAAAAAAAAGAAAAAGAAAAAAACGCAAATTTAACTACACGAAGATTATAATCTACAAAGTTAGAAAACAGTGAACCAGTGGAAAATACATTAAAATCATGTGCAAAAAGGATTCATAATATATAAAGAGCTCTTAGAAATCAATTAAAAACTTAAACACTCCAATTACTAAAATTGACAAAAAATGCCAATAGAACATTCCTAAGCCAAGAAAAACAAATATTCAGTTAAAAAACATAAGGTTGTCCCACTTCCAAACAGTTGTTTTTTGTCTATCATTGTTGATAGGAGTGTGGGATACAATTACTGTCAGGCATTTTTGGTTTGAAGGTGAAATTGGTACAACCCTATTTACCAAAATTTAACATATGCTTTAACCTTTGCCCCATAGCTGTCTCATTTCTGAGGCATATACCCTAAGGAAATAAGAAAATCACAAGGATACTCTTTGCCACCTTTTTTAAAAATAATGCTTCTAGAAACAAGTGTCCATCACTAGGACACTAGTTAAGGAAATTACGGTTGGTACATGCAATGGAGTACTCTTGACCCATTAAAAACTGATGTAAAGTTCTTTATTTGCATTAAAATATGTCCAAAAAGTATAGTTTCACCTCAGGAAAAAAAAAAAAAAGCAATATAATTTAGCAAGTACAGTGCTGTCCTAATGTGAATATATATGTGTACCTATGTTAATATAAGTGTACAAAAATATATGGAAGGAGGTCAAAATACAGGTGGTTTACATTTTGTCTTTTGGACTTTTTATCTTGTTGGTGTTTTTTGTAATTTATTATTTTACAAAAACAAAGTTGTGTTTTATTTTGTAATTAAAGCTGTGCCAGTGAAAAGGGAGCCAGTTGACTCTTGACCTCAACAAGTAGGTAATCATGATGAAGTAACTATGTCTGGTGATCTGAGTCTCAGCTTTCTTGTGTCTATAAATTTGATTATATTCATTTACCTATAGTTGGACAAGCTAACCTACCACTTGGACATCATAGTTTTGATTCCCCATATTGGACTGGGTACCCATTCTGTGTGTTCTCTGTGTGCCTGTCATGGTATTTGTCACACTACAGTGTAATTCCCTCTGTGCCAATAGATTGTTTGCTCCTGCCATACATATACACATGCACATATATCCTTTTTCTGCTACATGTTACACATTTCTTTTGATTTATTATTTGTCATCTATATTTGTGTATAGAAGTTTTAATTTTAACATAGCCAAAATGCTAATGAAATCCCATAGATATTAAAGGGATACTTGGAACAAGTTTATGCCAGTAATTCAATAACTTAAGCAAAATGGAAAAATTCCTAAAAAAAAAAAAAAATACAAATTACCAAAAGTGACACAAGAAGGAAAAGAAAATCTAAATGTCTCAATGTCTATTTAAAAAATTGAATTTATAAGCAAAATACTTTCCACAAAGAAAACTCCAGCTTGATGACTGCACCAGTGAATTTTATGAGACATTTAAGGGAGACAAATTACCAATCCTACACCATTTCAGAAAATAGAACAGGGAGAAATACTTCTATACTCATGAGGCAAGCATAATCATGCCACATTTTTTTTCCTGACACCAAAATTTAACATTTTACAAGAAAATTATAGACTGATAGTCCTCATGAATATATATATATAAATTCTTAAAGTATTAGCAGATTGAAACTTGCAATATAGAGGATTAGTAGATACCATGACCAAGGAGAGTGAATTTAACGTTAAAAAATCAGTGTAATTTATCACATTAACAGAACAAGAGAAACTGTTTCAACAAATGCAGAAAAAGGATTTGACAAAATTCAAAGCCCATTAATGTTTACAAAAAGAAACAACAACAACAAAAAAAACTCTAAGCAGCCTAGGAATAGAAGGGAATTTCCTCAATGATTTGAAAAACTTAATGGTGAAATATTAAATCCTTTTCTCCTAAGAACAGGAATAACAAATGTAAGACAAGAATTTTCTGCTCTCACTGCTTCTATTTAGGATATTGGAGGCCCTAATCAATGCAAAAAAGCAATAAGAAAAAGCATAAAGATTGGGAAGACTCAGATATCCTGATTTCAGAACTTGCTATGAAGCTACAGTAATCAAGATAATACTATACTCATATAAAGATAGGAGTACAGATCAATGGAATATAATTGAGTCCAGAAATAAAGCCTTATATTTATGGTCAGTTGACTTTCAGCAAAACACCAATACAACTCAATTGGAGAAAGAGTAGTCTTTTCAACAAATGGAACTGGGAAAACTGGATAGCCACATGAGCAAAAAAATTAAATTGGAACTCTACCTCACACCATTTATGACTATTAAGATGAACCAAAGATCCAAACACAAGAGCTCAAACTATAAAACTCTTAGAAAAAAATGTAACTAAATCCTTATCACCTTGAATTCGGCAGTGGCTTCTTTGATGTGACAAAAAGCACAACCAAGGGAAAAAATGAATGCATTAAAATTAAAACTTCATCAAAATCAATAGCCAGGCATGGTGGCGGGCACCTGTAGTCCCAGCTACTCGGGAGGCTGAGGCAGGAGAATGGCATAAACCCGGGAGGCGGAGCTTGCAGTGAGCTGAGATCCGGCCACTGCACTCCAGCCTGGGCAACAGAGCAAGACTCCGTCTCAAAAAAAAAAAAAAAAAACTTCATCAAAATCAAAACCTTTATGCTTCAGGCTGGGCACCATGGCTCATGCCTGTAATCCCAGCACTTTGGGAGGCCAAGGCAGGCAGATCACCTGAAGTCAGGAGTTCAAGACTAGCCTAGTCAATATGGCGAAAACGCGTCTCAAATACAAAATACAAAAATTAGCCAGGCATAATGATGTGCACCTGTGATCCCAGCTACTCGGGAGGCTGAGGCAGGAGAGTTGCTTGAACTCAGGGGGCAGAAGTTGCAGTGAGCCAAGATTGCACCACTGCCCTGCAGCCTGGGCAACACAGCAAGACTCCATCTCAAAAAATTGCTTCAAAGAACAATATCAAGAAAGTGAAAAGACAATCCACAGAATGGGACAGAATATTTTGGAAATCATGTATCTGGTAAGGGTGCACTGTTCAGAATACAAAGAACTCATAATTCAACAATAAAAATCCAATTTAAAAATGGACAAAGGATTTCAATAAACATTTCTTCAAGGAAGATATACAAATGGCCATAAGCACATGAAAAGATGCTCAGTGTAATTAGTCATTAGGGAAATACACATCAAAACCAGGTGATACCACTTCACTAGGATGACGAATTTTTTTAAAGAATGGACAAGAACAAGTGTTAGGACATGAAGAAATTGGAACCCTC